TGAAGTCAGTGATTTGCTTAGGATGTGGTAAGCAACAAGGTGAGGAAAAGATAAGAGGAATTACGGGATTTGTGTGCCTCAAAGAAACAAACCAAATAAGATGTTAGGAAGGAGCTAGGCATTGTGGCACATGCCTTTAATCCCAGAACTCAGGAGGCAGAAACAGGCAGATCTCTGTGAGACCGAGGCCACTCTGGTCTACAAAGAGAGTTCCAGGCCAGGTGGGGTTACAAGGAGGCTTGGCCTCAAACAACAACAAAAATCCAAAAAATATTAGGAAGGAGAAAGGTACCACAGTCTAAGGAAAGATTACCACATAGAACAAGGTTTCTCTCTTCTCTGATTGATATTCTGTAGGTAAGTGTCACAATGTATTTAAGCAAATTTCTGACATCAGACCAAAACAGAAAAAGCATATTGCAAAACTATCTACCAGACTGCAATTTCAACTGTGGAGCTGGGTACATGCATTCCCATTTGGTAAATTTTTTTCTATTTATACTACTAAAAACACATAGTACTTAGCATAGTGGAGCCATAACCCAGCACTTGGGAGGTGGAGGCAGGAGGATTGGGAGTTCAAGGGCAGCCTCATCAATACAGCAAGTCTGAGGCCAACCTGGGTGACTTAAGACCCTATCTCTAAAACCTACACAAACAAATAAACACACAAGTAAACAAAACAAAACAAAACAAAAAACATTCTTACATATACTAACTTTCAGGTCCTTAAATACAGGGATCCAAAAGTAACAACCTATGATCAATTAATTCCAGTCTTTTAAGAGTTTGGCACTATAATCTACCTCAACTACTCTCTACATATAGCTTCTCATTTAGCCTTTTGCATGGTGCTACTTGAAACGACTGTTTACGGGCATTAAAAAACCCTTCTATATCTTTGAATTTTCCCCTAAATTCTCTTTATATATTTTTATATTGACATAAAACCTTTTCATAAAGCTCTCTTTCCTTGGTTTCTCATGGATATTTATTTCTTTATTAATCCCTCCATTTAGAGATGGGGTCTTGCCATGTCCAGGCTGATCTCAAAACTCCTCAGCTTAAGCAATTCACAAGGAATTACAGGGATGGACCAAGCATCTGATACATACTCATTTAAAAAAAGATGTACTTATTTTATGCATGAGTGTACATTGCTTGTGTGTATGTATGTATGTGCACTGTGTGCATGCAGAGCCTGAGGAGGCCAGAAAAGGTCGGCCAATCCCCCCAGAACAGGAGTTACAGGTGGTTGTGAGCATCATGAGGGTGCTGGAAATAGAATTTGGGTCCTCTTGCGAGAGCAGCAAGCGCTCTTAACTGTTGAGCCACCTCTTTAGCTTCAAGTTAATTTTTAAAAACTGATTTATAAAAAACTCCTGAAGTATGTTCTTTTCTTCTATGTCGTGAGTATAATTCTGATACCTTTAAAAGGTTCTTAGTTAGTTCTTGCAATGCCCACAAAGTTAGGATTACAATATGAAATTTAATTAGGACAAAGCTTGTATAGAAAGAACACACGATTAAATAATTTTTTTCCCTAACAGAATCAATTTAAATTAAAGTAGAAACATACTTCTTAGTAGAGAAGAAAAAAATAATTGGTATTTTTACTATACTCTTTTTCTTTTTTGTCTTTCTGAGACTGGGTCTCCCTGTAGCCCCAGCTGTCCTGGAACTCGCTATATAGACCAGGCTGGTCTTGAACTCACAGAGATCTGCCTGCCTCTGCCTCCCAAGTGCTGGGATTAAGCCACCACCACACCTCTTCAAAGCACAAACATCTCTGTTTTTTTTAAAAGAAATTATGAATTTTTGAGATTTTTCAGACAACATAATTTGATAGTATTTAGATACTTAACCCTATCCACAACTCTCCTTACTACCCTCAGACCAATTTAAGGTTCTCTATCACACACACACACACACACACACACACACACACGTATATATGGCCCACAGAGTTTAATTTGTGTCCTTTTTTAAAAAAAAATATTTATTTTTCTTTTATGTGTATACGTGTATTGCCTGCATGTAGGTAAGTGAACCCATGTCGTGCAATACCCGCAGAGGACAAATGAGGCCATCGGATCCCCTGGAACTGGAGTTATGGACAGTTGTTAGCTGCCATGTGGGTGCTGGGATTCAAACCTGGGTCTTCTGCAAGAACAACAGTGCTGTTAACTGCTGAGCCATTTCTCCAGCCCTGTGTCCTTTCTTTTCATAGTATCTGTGTGTCCCAGATGTTTTATTCTATTTTAAAAAGTATGATAAAGCACAGGGCGTGGTGGTGCACTTTAATCCCAGCACTCAGAAGGCAGACGTGGGTGGATCTCTGTGAGATAGAGGCTAGACTGGTCTCCCATTAGGTCAGCTTGGGAGACCCTGTCTCAAAAAACTAACAAAACAAAACAAAACAAATCACACTGTATGTAGTATTCTGTGATTATTGTCATTAAAGAGTATGCTAAAATCCTATGCTGCTGTGCATTTCTGTATTTTTGGTTGCTAATTGTTCACTGTAAACACAACCAGTTTAGACATTTATTTTATTGCCAATGTAAACATTTAGTTTCCAATCTCAACAATGTTCCTATAATAGTCCATTATTTGTGGTTTCAGCTACCTGTAATCAACTGTTGTCTGAAAAGGTTAAATGAACACATAGTTGGACTGATGAAATCTCATGCCATTCTGCTCTTACCCATCCAGGACATTAATCCAGCATGTCCATGCTATATAGACTACTTGTCCACATTTTAGCAGCACTGGTTTTCAGGTAGATTTTGGCAGTATTGCAATGCTTGCATTCAGCAAGCACTTCACAGCAGCCTAACACTAGGTCATAGGGCTCACATGATTCATCTCACTTCAGCTTATATCTGAGTCATGTCATCCAACATCTCAAGGGTAAGGACAGTACAGTTAAGGTCATCTGAGAGAAGGACCACATGGTATATTGTTATTTTATTGTTAGCTATTGTTAATATACTACCATGTGTAATTTATAAACTTTATCATACGTATGGATAGGAAAAACAGTACCCTCAGGGTTCATTTCTCCCAAGTTTCAGGCCTAAATTAACTCCATGATAACTAAGGAAGGACATACTATATAAAAATGTTTATGCCTGCTTTGTGTAGTTAAAGGGAAAACACTGCATATATTAGCAGAAGAAAACTTGTATCATATGATATATCTCTATGCTCAACTACAGGCCAAATTGTACCCCTTTTTCAAAAAAGATTAAAAAAAATTTTATGTGTGCATCTGAGAGAGAGAGAGAGAGAGAGAGAGAGAGAGAGAGAGAGAGAGACTGAGAGACCGAGAGAGACCATGGTGGCCAGAAGAGGGTGCTGGATGCCCTGGGGCTGGAGTTACAGAGTAGTGATGAGCCACCAGACATAGGTATCCTTAGGACTACATCAATTTCATCTCTACCAGGCACATAAAAGAAATCTACATCTTTTCTAACAGTAGAAATTTTAAGACTTCTTAATTTTTTTTTTTTGGTGTTTTTGAGACAGGGTCTTCCTGTAGTCCCAGCTGTCCTGGAACTCACTATATAGACCAGGCTGGCCTTGAACTCACAGAGATCCACCTGCCTCTGCCTCCCAGGTGCTGGGATTAAAGGCGTGTGCCACCACGCCCGGCTAAGACTTCTTAATTTTTAAAAAAAATTTTTATTTTCTGAGGATGACTGTTTTGCCTGCATGTATATATGTGCACTGTGTGCGTGCGTGCGTGTGTGTGTGTGTGTGTGTGTGTGTGTGTGTGCATGTGCCTGGCGCCCTTGGAGGCTGGAAGAGAGTGTTGGATTCCCCTGCACTGGAATTACAGATAGTTGGGAACTGAAGTGTGGGTGCTTGTCACCTGTAAGGGCAGCAAGTGTTTTTACCTGCTGAGCCATCTATCTATCCACAAGACTTAATTGGTTGTCAATAGAATGGTTGGACAGTAGCTGCACTGCAGTCTAGAATACATTTCTCTGAAGGCTCACCAAGTTTCCTAAGTTGCCATGTATTGCAGGCCTTTGGTATTTTCTATTTGGTGAAATGTTTGACTTCTGAGATTTTCCTACTGATATGTTTTTATCTTTATTGATCAGTAAACATTTTATATTTTTATACTATTTGTGGCTCTGTGTGTTGGAAGTTTGTAACTTTTTTCATATTCTTTATTTGATTTTTAAGTTTATAAGAATATACTGATTATAGCTGGGCATGGTAGTGCACGCCTTTAATCCCAGCATTCGGGAGGCAGAGGCAGGCGGATCTCCGTGAGTTCGAAGCCAGCCCAGTCTCCCTAGCGAATCCAGGCCAACTAGGGCTACGGGGAGACCCTGTCTCAAAAAGACTGAAAAAAAAAAAAAAGACTATACTGATTATATGTATTAATGATTTCATTGTATTTTCATACACATATGTGCAATGTATCTTGATCATATTCATCCCCATTACCATCTCTGTTCCACCTCCCTCTGATCCTCTTCCTTTTCCCAACTAGTCTCCTTTCTACTTTCCTCCCTCCTTTCCTTTATTTTTGGTGAACCAATGAGTTTAACCAGTTACTTATAGGATCATGGGCACCTTACTAGAGGTTTACACCACTGAATACAATGTGTCTTCCTGTCTCAGCAACCATTAACTGCTGAGTCCCCAGGGAAAAGTATCTCTTGCTACATAAATGTCTTTGTTCTAAAATACATTTATCGATTTTTAAAAATCAAAACTTACTGTCTCATTTAAGATGCTATCTCCTTACTATAGTGTTAAAAAAAACACCTAACTTAAAACCATTTTTTCTTAAATTGAAAGTGTTACAGTTTTGTCTGTTAACTTGAAAGCTTTAATTATTTATATATGATGTAATACTGGGATGAAATTTCAAATCATCTATAAGAATAACAAACTGTGCCTAAAATTACATAGTTCCTTCTTTCCCCATTTATAGGGTATCCCTCCTGGGCCATATGTTAAAGTTACAGTTCACTAACCTCGTCCCTACTCCAGGTTCTCCGTCGTGTAATTGTTAAGTGATCAGGAGGCTCTGTTGGCTGAGGTCTTGAATCACTAGACCGACCATTGTTTCCTTCTGGTGTTTTAGAATGAACTAATGGAGGGATCTTTCGGAAGTTGAGACTTTCATCAAAAACACGATCAACCAACTAGTAGGACAAAAGCAAACCTTTATGAGAACAGAGTAAGCAAGCTGGAAAAACAGAAATACTGGCATTATAATTTTTATGATTAGACAGAAGTTATTCCATTCTCAAATAGTAACAGAAGCATGACATCTTCAATAAACCAATTACTTTTTTATAAGCATGTCAAAGGCATTCCCTTCATAAAATAGATGTCAATCTATACAGATCTTATTCTGAATTCAAAATATGCAACTATTCTAACCTCAATTCTTCCACAAGTAAAGTTTCTCCAAGGATAAACAGAAGCCAAAGAGGAAAACCTGGGCCACATAGGTGACAATGAGTTCACTTTACTCACATTGCCTTACCAGGATAAAATAATGTTTCTTTTTCTTTTAGTTTTCTATCTTGTTTTTTCCTTTTTTTTCTCCCCAAATCCAGGTGCCAAATTTCTTCACAAGATACATAAATGGTAAATTCCAATTAAGTTTACAAAGGGAAACAAAAAGTAATCCACATAATAAGTATTTTGGTCTTAGTCAAACTTTCAACGACGATACAAAACATACATCTTCCAGTCAAATGATACACTGCCATCTACAGTGGAAATTACAGACATACACTACCAAGTAACAAAGGTTTACTGAAGAGAAAATAAACTAGTATAATATTCCAAAATGAAACAAAAAGGAAAAATGGAAGTCTAGTCAATGAAGTGTTTCAATAATTTCACTGGGTCTGAGTGAAGGTATAACCATGTTAGGTAAAATTTAGTTAGGAAGCTGAGAAAATAACATCACTTTAAATGGACTAGAGAAATGTGTATGTCTTGCCACCATGAAGATCTTTTTGTTTTTTACCAATAACAATGATTTTATATTACAGTTACATTGATCAGTGTGGTAACAAAACTCTACACAGATTAATGAAATATCATTTATTAAATCAGACAACATATGAACAAAAAAAATCAACAAAAAAAGACTATTTAGAAACTTTGTAGAAAGAATGTAACAAAAAGCAACTGAAGAAAAGATTATCAGCACAGTTCACCAATATTAAATGTCAAAAAGGCCAGGCATTTTTGGTTACTATTTATAGCATTATTTAACAAAAGTAAGTAGAGTTATCAGTATGAGGGGAGACGTTTCTCTGTAAAGTGACAATGTTTTGGCTTTGAAAAAGTACAGTGTCAGTTTGACCAACTAAGTTTTGTACTGCAATACAGAAACAGCAACAGACAACATTAAGCAAGTGAGAACAGCTTTGTTGTAATAAAACTTTATTTATGGATACTGAAATGTGAATTTAATATGATCTTGATGTTATGAATTATTAATTTTTGGATTTTTCAAGAATTTAAAAACACAAAAATATATTTCTGTTTTCCAGGCCATATAAAAAACAAATACATTCTTTTAAATTTAAAAAATTTATTTATTTTTATTTTATATGTCTGAGTGTTTGCCTGCATGTATGTAAGTATACCCATCTCATGCAATGCCCACAGAGGCCAGAAGAAGGTGCCACATTCCCTGGAACTGGAGTTACAGAAGGTTGTTAGCTGCCCTGTGGGTGCTGGGAATGGAACTTGAGATATATGTACTTCTCTCTTGTTATTATTCCCCAAACAACATACCTAACAATTACTTACACAGCATTCACACTGCATTAGGTATTGTAACTAATCTAGAGATGATTTAAGGTGTACAAAAGGACACATACAGGCTACATGCAAACACTGTATCATTAGCTAAGAGATACTGAGGGACAAGAGATCATTGTGTCATTAATTTTAAGTTAAAGGCACTTTGTAGAACACTTTTATACAAGTGGTGTCTCCTGGAGCTGTACTGCTGGAGGCCCTGGTTTTGGGTGGACAACAATCTACAAATGCTAACTTGCATTCCAGAGTTCATGAGAATACTCTGAGTATTTCTGTGTATGTGATATAGTATTTATACAAAAGAAACCTCAGTTTTTCTTTTAAATACCGGGTATATGTGCATATTTATCTACAGATAATTTTTTAAAAAAATATATAGAATTTTTCTTTGCTATTAATTAGTAAGAACTATTCCTTTTAATTATTTATGAAAACATTCATGTCAAAATTCACTAAAACATCATACAATTGTTTGTTAAATTTCAGTTTTCTTTCCACATAACATTTATATTCCCATTTCAAGTAGCTATGGATCAGGAATTATCAGGCAACGTGCTTATACCTAAATGGTTTTCTATTTTTATGATAATAGTAGACCAAATATTAGCCTTTTAGCCTTTACTAAGTATTATAAACACATAAATTTGTTAAAGCAAAGTTGGAAAAATGCAGAGCTGCATGCAAACAGGGAGGGTGGACGTAAGCAAAATAAACTAAGCAAAAAGCTAAAAGCAAAAGAAATAAAGAAAAGGAAGAACCTTATGCATTTCTCCATGAAGATCTCCTACCTCTTCTCTAGTGTCTATGGCAGAGCCAGGGGTGGTGGCAGCAGTGCTTACTGTGGTACTGGGGGCAGTGCCTGAGGAAGTCACTGAATCTATTTCTCCTGCTACATCGTTGATCTCCCGAGCAATGAGAGCAAGATCTTGGCTGATCCTGGTAATAATGTTAGAAAAGAAGTTTAATTCCTTTTAAAATAACAGCTCTAGGAACATACAGAATCAGTTATATTTATAATATACTTATACCCCAAATTTAGGATTCTTTGGAAATTTGATTGCTATTTTGGCACAAAAAACCTTAGATTTTAACTTAAAAAATTACCATCAATGAACTAATCTCCAAATAACATATTTTGGACACTCTAAAGTAGAGACATACCTTTAAATATATAGTTAATGACTAGCATTAATATATCACAGAGATCTTAAAACTTGGAAGTGATAGGATTCAGAGAGTATTTGGACGTGGATGAGAGGAAACAATGACATTATTTCAGTAACATAACTGATGTTTGGCATTTCTTTCAATGTAAACAGACAACAAACTATAGTGAAATTAAAACGGTTGATGATTTTTGTCATTCACAGAAATCATATTATAGTTGCTATAGATATTTCAAAACATAACTTATAGCAATTATGTCTTAAAAATTACTTAAGCTGTTGAACTCAAACCAATAATCTTTACTAAATATTATATTGCTAAATATTTTGATAACTGTATTTCAACATTACTGAAATTCTTTGTCATTCCAACTATTTATGTTGATGCAGTTGCAAACACTGAACGCTCCATAAGCTTCACCAGATGGCCAAAAGGGCCTCTAGTACCAGGAAGTCAAGAACTCTGACACAACGATGCATCCAACACATTTTCTACTCTACATATCATCTGAGAATTACAATGGTCTTAGGAGGTAGGACTTATCTGAGTTTGTTAACAAACATACATTATCAGAAAAGTTGAATGACTGCTTATGATCACACAAGTCAGAAGGACCAGATGTTAGGGATTAGCACTCGGTTCTATTAAACTATTCATATATTCAATAACATGGACAGTTGAAATAAGTAACTGTGTGTGGTCTTGCTATGTAGCCTTGCCTAGTTTGGAACTTGCAGTGATCTACCTGCCTCTGCCTCCTGAGAGCTGAATGACATGAACACACTACCACATCTGGCTTTAATAGCAGGGTGTTTTATTTTGTTTTGTTTTGTAGTGCTGGGTATCAAACTTAGGGCCATGTGCATGCTAGGAAAGCACTCTACCACATTCACTTCCTCAGCTCAGTATCAGTTACTAGTGAGAATTAAGAGAAAATAGTTTTCTTTTAGCATTCAAAATTTCCTTAAGAAAAAAAATTCTACCACTGATATTCCCCTGTGTCTTAAATATATTTCAGCTCACAGAACTTTTCCACATTATATATTTGTTGGACATAAAACACAACCTGGCTTCTTCCACAGGGAAAGTTTTAGAATGACAGAGTATTCTTAAGAGCACATGTGAAAGCTTAAATAATTTTCAAAGTACAAAGTAACATTTTTTTAAAGGTATGCAAAATGTGAGTATGAAAGATGTTAAAGGAATATAGTAATTGTGTAAAAATTTAAATCCAAAATGAAGTGAAGTTGAAGCTTATGTATTGACAGAAGCATATGGTAAATTAATGTATATGTAAAAATTTTACAAACAATCCTAACTTTTCTTTTTTATGCCAGTGCAAACAACACATATTTACAGGTAACTTACTATTTGCCAGGCACTACCCTAGGTCCTAAGTCATGGTGGTGAAGTACATTGGGTCCCTGTTCTTCTGGAACTTAGAACAAATACTGAGTACCATTACAATAAGTACATCATATGAAGTTCTACATAGATCAACTCATTTAATCCTTATCAATATCTTCTAAGAGAGGTATTTTTCACTTTGTTTTACAAGTGAGAAAAATGGAGCTTAGAAGTCATGTTAATGTCCCAGGCTAAGATTATAAAGAGTAAGAGGCATAACTGGACCTTTACACTATGCCATACCATCTCACGTCACTATTCCACATGTAATTTGTAAGACTTCTTAGCTGCTGGTATGACTAGGAATAGGTTTCAAGTGTTTACTCTGTAATACAGGCCAAACACCCCTAATCTGAAAAGCTTAGGTCAGTGCACCCGTGTCGTGCAGTGCCCGTGGAGGCCAGAAGAGGCTGTCAGATCCCCTGGGACTGGAGTTACACACAGTTGTTAGCTGCCATGTGGGTGCTGGGATTTGAACCCAGGTCTTCTGCAAGAACAGCCAGTGTTCTTTACCACTAAGCCATCTCTCCAGCCCCTTGATGTGATTTTTAAAAGATAAGCACCAGTTTATTAAGAAAAAAAATCAATTTTCTCTTAAAAGATTTTTTTTCCCTCTGCAAATACTGGTATAATGAAACCTATAATATTTGTTGAAAGTAGTAGGAGTCAGAAAAAATAACCAGGCTAGAGAGATGGCTCAGGGGTGAAGGTACTGACTGCTCTTGCAGAGGACCCAGGTTTGGTTCCTAGCACCCACATGGCAGCTAACAACTAACTGTCCATAATTCCAATTCTAGGAGATCGGATGTCCACATCTGACCTCCTTGGACGTTGCAGGGCATGGGTGCACTTACATATATGCAGACAATACACTCATACACATAAAAAATAAAATGAAAAATATTTAAAAAAATAACAGACATCCTCATATATTATAAAGTAAAATTTGTGTGAAAACAAGTAATTCTTACTGTAGGCACAACAAATATTACTCAGGCAACAAGCACTCAGGAAGTATTATTATAATTATTTTTTGTTCTTTTTGAGACAGGGCCTCCCTGTAGCCCCAGCTGTCCTGGAACTCACTATGTAGACCAGGCTGGCCTTGAACTCACAGAGATGTGCCTGCCTCTGCCTCCTGAGTGCTGGGATTAAAGTGAGCCACCACGCCCGGAAATATTATTTTTAATAGTATGTTCTGTACGTGCCTGCTGGATTTTTGAAAGGCAATTCTTATCTTTAAAGTTGATTCAAGGATAACATATCATCAATAAATTATTTTCCATTTATATTGTTTAAAAATCTAAGCAGCTAGCCAGGTGAGGTAGCACATATCTGTAATACCAGCACTTGGAAAATAGAGGCAAGACAAGCAGGAATTCAAGGTCATTCTTAGTTTGAGGTCAGCTTGGGCTACATGAGACCTTGTCTCAATCATGCAGACACAAATGCTCATCATCTACAAAAATCACAAGAAAATCTGAAGGAAAATAAAAGTATCAGGAAAAAGTGATGGGTATACATACTCCAAACAGAAATAAGTCACTTACTCAACCCAGAGAATGGATATGGTTACTAAAACAGCCTTCAAGTTAATTTTATAAAGCCTCTCAATTACATCTGCTGGAATAGCTTTTTTTTTTGGGGGGGGGGGTTGGTCTCCATGTAGTCCCAGCTGACCTGGAACTCGCTATGTAGACCAAGCTGGCCTTGAACTCAACAGAGATCCACCTGCCTCTGCCTCCTGAGTGTTGGGATTAAAGGTGTGTACCACCATGCCCCGGCTGGAATATCTTATTTCTTTATAGCGAGTGAAGACCTACAATCTTTGCTCTTACTCTCATTTGCATCCCATTCAAATTTGCTGGAAGAAATTTTAAAACAACACAAACATCTTATTTCGTGTTGTGTAATATATATGATTCCTCAGCAAATATCAATAAAAACTTAAGATTGCCAATTTTAAAACCCAATACATATTTTATATTTAATTCCATTTTCTCTTGGGAACAACTTAGTCCCTTTCTTGGGACCCAGGAGCACCGCTTCTGGTCCTGGCCCTGCCCTCACTTCTCTCTGCTTCCTGGGCCTGCACCACCGGCTAACTCTCCTAGTCTGCACTACTATCCTCAGACCTCTTGGGGTAAGTCTATAGCGCAGCCCTCCGTGCTGGGACTCCCTAAGCCACATTCACACTTCCATCCCTCCGCCGTTCTATACTCCTAGTTTGGGCCCTGCACCATTCCTAGTCTTGGGGCCCCAGACACCTGAGGAACCAATACTGCTTCCTGATCCTTCTCACCCAGACCAACTCAGTCCCTTTCTTGGGCTCCAGGAACACCGCTTCTGGTCCTGGCCCCGCCCTCACCTCTCTCCGCTTCCCTGGGCCTGCACCACCGGCTAACTCTCCTAGCCTGCACTACTATCCTCAGGCCTCTTGGCATGTCTATAGCGCAGCTCTCCGCACCTGGACTCCCTAAGCCACATTCACCCTTCCATCCCGCCCACCCTCGCCGTTCTATACTCCTAGTTTGGGCCCTGCGCCATTCCTAGTCTTGGGGCCCCAGACACCTGGGGAACCAATACTGCTTCCTGA